TTTGAAGAAACGCCTCAGGCATATTGATTATATTCCAACTAATAAATTAAATGCAATCTCTTAGATCTGTAATCAAAAGATCAATTTTGAAAAAATATATTTCTTACAATAACGGTTGTGAAATTTTCAAACCTACGAAAGTCTTCCACTGCATGTAAAGAATCAAATTACTAGTGACACATATTCACTATCAGAATTTATAGTAAATAATAATAAATCAAAATAAATATAGAAGTGCATCACTTCCTGAATATTTTCAGAGTCATAGGTCACTGTGCTTTCGAAAATAATTATTAAAAAAATTCCTCATTCGTTAATTGGACTCGATGTGATCCACTTGTTTATGACTAATATATGAAACTATTTAATCTGTAAAAATGAATCATAAAGTGTTGTGTACTGTAGCTTATATTAATATATTATTAAATTTTATTATAATTGTTAAATCTTTGCCCGTCGATATTGAAAAACAAGCGACGGTGGATACAGTAAATAATATAGATCCACATATCATTACGGTTAATGGACTTCCTTATAAGGGTAAGTAATTATGGAATGTTTTACTTCAAAATAAATTATTTTAAATTAGAGAGAGACAAGTGGAAAAACAAGAACATGTTAGTTCATCAGTTAAAATAAATCATAGTTTTTAAATAAAAATTGAATTTCTTTTCAGAAATAGTGAGTACAGTTACAGAACATCCACCTGATCAAGTTCCTGACAACAGTGCACCTCATAATATATCAATTGGCGAAAGAATTCCTGGTGATAATTATTCTACACTGATAACACGGTTTTAGAAAATTCTGGACCAAGCACCATCAATGGCACAATTTCTGTAAATTTAATCTTTCATTAATTATTACTAACAGTATTTTGATTAAATGGTTTGTGAAATGGCGAATAGCTTTTGAAACAGAGTAGTTTTCATAGCTTTATACTCACGACCATAGAATTATAACTTTATATTGATTTTTCATTGTGAAACTAAAAAGTTTCCTTATCTATGCTAAATAGCATTATAGTTTTCTTATTGAGCTTTATAGACACAGTTTTAAAACATGGATGAGTGTAATTAAAAATTTATTATTCAGTTTTAAGCAACTTACTTAAGTACTATCAGAATCAGAAACAATTTTTATAATAATTAATAAAACTATTTATATGGCCAGAAAACCAAGTCTCCATCTGATTAAATGCAATTTACCAACGACTTATCGAGGAACATGTGCATGCAACTTTATTTATTCACCATCCATTGATAGTAAATATCCAATATGAAAAACTAGTTTCCTAAAAACTTATCCGTCTCCTGTAAAAATTTTTTTAGAGACGAAATATCGAAGCTACACGTCTTTTGTTAGTCTAACGCTAGAACATTATAAATTTTGATATGGAACCTAAAGAAATTTGTATTTATTATTAAAATCCCTATAAAATATTAGATAATTTGATGTGCATATGTCTAATAATCATTTTTGACCACCGAATTGCATTTTTTTACTTTCCATATTGTATTTCCGAAATCGTCGAGTTGTTGTCAATACAAGTAAAATGTTTTTGAATCGTTCAAATCGAACGCTCCGTCCTCTCAAAAATTGAATTACCATTTTTGGCACCTTTTTACCTGTATCTTTGAAACTGTTGGACCTGCTTTTGCCAAAAACTAATCAGCACGTTTCCCATCAATACGAATTATTATTATTATTAATATTAATTAGTTTGAATTATTGAAATCGGTTGTTTCGTATTCCTGAAAACGTCAACAAAAATTTGTATTCGCACGCACACACACACATACATTCATTTTTTCTGAGATATACCAAAATGTTCAGAAACCTTTGAAACGAAAAATATATATAAAAAATTTTTCGATTTTTTGCTATTACGATAACTTACCCTGAAAGAAGTTTAAAATATGATTTAGAAAATATTTCTAAAGAAATAATTGGTTAGACTGATCGTTTATGGTATAAATTATGTTTTCACATGAAAATATATATTAATTAAATTAGCTGAAAGTGGCATTTTGCCGAAGGCAAGTTGCATGAACTTCCCGAAAAGTGTAACAATTGACTTAATCGATCGAAATTATTGTTATTCAGATAAAAGATATTCAGATAAAATTATCAAATAAAGTTTTCGCATTCAATTACGTCTTAACGTTACGATTTCCAATTGAATTTTCTCAAACACATTTAAAAAATTATCTGTAATTATATTAATTGTATAGCAAAGACACGCGTGCTTGTATGTCCTAAAACTGTAGTTTATTATTCCACATTATAACAATTTTTTTTTCTTGATTTATTTTTCATAGCAAGCTATACAAAGTACATTCAGCTACATTTGTTACAGTTATATATTATTTGTCTGCATGAGAAGGACAAATTGACAATGTTTGACTTATCACATAACACAAGCAACTTTTGACACAAATTTTGACTCATATTTTCTCAAACTTTGATGAATTTTCAAAATTATACTACTTGCCGAAGGGCCGTAATATTTCAGTATGTTCTATAAGACCATGATATCTCTCGTGAAAAATGTTTCATAAAAATCGGCAGTTTTTTCCCTCAACAGTTAATTAAAAGAAAACGGCTCGGTCGAGGTTTATTAAAAACTAATTAGTTCGATTCTCAACCAATATCTTTCGGACAGTTTTTGATTTTTTAAAATCGATTCAGGATTGTGAGCTAAAATGTGGATAAAAGGTCTTATACTTTTTTGCTAACTACAAAGAAACGGCTCGGCTGATTGTCGCACAAAACTAACAAACGATAGTCCTCGTCGAGATACATCGAATGGCTTCTAAATTTTTGGAATCGGTCCAGCCGTTTTTGAGAAAACGTCGATTTAAGGTAAAAAATCTGTTCACACACACACATACTTTATTTCAAATTTGGTCTCATTCGATTCAGAACGGCATGAAACCTCGAGAAAACATAAAATTAACGAATCGGATTTTTTGATGAAAACAAACTTCTTCGGGAAGTTAATATGTCGTTGCAATAAATAAAGTCTATCATTATAATATTATCTGGTTTGGACCATGAGTCTATACCCTGATTACGAGTTCGGTTTATTGTTGTCTATGGATTTAGCTAAGTTCGACCCAAAACTAATAATTAATCAAAAAAATTGCGAGATGTTTAGCAAAACCTAAAAGTGTATTGAAATTTTCCTCTTGTTTTTGTAGATCAATATAGCTGCCGCTATGAATATAACCCGAGTCGAAGCATGGGATCAAGTTCCTGATGGTTGGGGGGCCTTCCCAAGTTTAGAAAACGGTGGCCCTGGACACAACCATGTCACATTGAGACTTCGAACCCAGTACTCCAGAGGATTCCATTTCTTGGTACTAGTTTTTCGGTGTTGACACTCAAAAAATGGACCCTGATGGTGTTGTCGAAGCAACAATCAAAGACGCTATGGAATAATTAAATATTATGATAAATATATAAGTAATTTTGTATGATATTAATATTTGATTAATACTTTACCTGCTCTAGATTTTACCTAAAACAACTCCCCCAGCGCAATTAAAGAATTTGTTTTTATGAAATATATATATTATTTATATAAATATATTATATCTTATAATAAAAACTATAGAATATATAAATCTGCTATACTTAAGTAAGGTGGTCATCTCAAAATAATTTAATTATTGTTACCCAATTATTGTACATTAAAAAATAAAATTTCCAAATTCACAGCAAAAAAACTCTAATGTTTCTAATGAAAACCATAAAAATAAATAAGTTAATTATTTAATTTAGGCTTTCTAAACCGAAAGAGATTAATTTTCAACATATGTCAGAAAAGTTTATTTTTTAATAATTCTTATCACATGTAATAAAAATTATAACCACTTATGCGCCGATCACACGAGTTACTTTACTATGAATTTGGATTAAAAAATATTTGAATATTGTAAGAAATTATTTTACTTCATGCATTTTATGGCAGGATAGTAAGAGCATAGATTGCAAGATATATAGATAGAAAATCATGTTAAATATATTTGTTTCTGTATCACAAAAATAATTTAATAAATAATAAGTTTAAATTATGTTAACTAACTCATTACAAGATATAGTTTTACAAGTGGCAAGATATGAATTTAAATAAAATACAACAGATAGGATAGGTACAATAGTTAATGTATAGTTTTATTCAAAAACTTAAGTTAAGCAATCATTCATAAATTCATACATTAAAATTACACTCAGAACGTAAAAAATTGTATGTGTGGAAATCGCTTATTTATTTCTACTGTCAGTGGCAGCGTAGTTATGAAAAATTTAAAATTATGAAGTCATCAGTTTTGCATAAAGTAAATTCAAAATCATCACTATATCTCTAAATGAGATTAACACAAAAATCTCTAAAACGTTATTTAAGTAAACTTTGTTAGATATATATTCCACAATTGTGTGTACGAGTTTCGCCTATAGACGACATCCGGTGTGTCGACTTTTGCTCCAAAACTTACCACTGTGTGTTAAATTGCTCAGAATTCTGATTTGTAGATGTAATTTTTAGGTCTCTAAATGTTGTAAAAAACACATTTTTATAGTATTTGAAAAATCTCTAGATATTTTGTGTAACAAATTGATTGGGCGGCATGCTGGCTCGTACAGCAGTATCTCTACAGCAAAAAACACTTCGTGGCAAAAGAGTATACTCTTCATAGTGGTCATAGAATAGGATGAGATTGGCGATTTTTCATTAAAAATGCTACAATTTTAGCAAAAAATCATATTTGGAAGACATGGTTATGCAATTTATCCATTCATATTTTACAACAATTATTCTTTTTAAAATATTCTTTGATTTTTTTTTAAATGCTACAAGGAAAGAATTTATGTTTGAGGGCAATGACATGCGATTTATCTATTCATATTTTTCGATGATTTTTCTTTCTAGAATATTTTTTAAATTATTTTCTTAAAAATACACGCACTACCTATATATACCAAACGTAGGCCGCCACTGGCATTAAATACAATACAATTCAGGTATTAAAAATTACATATAACCATAACAAAGATACGTCGTCATAAAATCCATTTTAAGGAAACAAACAAAACAATAAAAGAACAATAGAAATTAGAAAGAAACTCAAAATTCAATTACATCACCACTTTTCATCATGCTATTACCAATATTACAAGCTAGCGCCTCCTTTCTTAGAAGCTGGCGCAGATGGTACTCCTTCATCAGAAGAATCAGAATTTTTTTCTGCATTACGAATCCTGTCAGAATTTTGTGAATTTATTGAAGGTGTTTCTTCTGAATCATCCAAATCCTTCTCTTTATCATCTTTCGATTGAGTCCTTTCGTTTTGTTGGATTGCCTGGGTTGGATGTCTTTGTACAGGCGGTTGCGGAGAGGACGGCCTGGTAATAAAATGTTATATTAGAATATTGGTTGTACTAACTTAATTAAAAGAAAAGCACAGAGGAATTGACATGGTGTTCAATTTTTCAATAATATTTATTTAATTTTTTTTAATTTGATAATATTATAATCACTTACAATCGTTTTAACTCATCTATTCATTAACTACCTGTGACACCGTCTTTTAATTGAATAGGAACTATAACAAAATATTTGTTAAGAAAAAATGCAATAAATTACAAAATACAGTTTGTGTATATAACACAGACAAAATACCATATTATGTAAGACCATAATGACAAATTTATTTATAAGGAGACAGTTTACAAATAAATCGTTTGGTCAAATCAACACATGAGAAATAAGCCTAAAGGACACAAGTCATACATGGTATACAGCTCCCGCCAAATTTAAGAGAGAAAAAGATGTCTTTGTTATAAATGCAAGTATCTGTTTTTTTCCGGTGGACGTTTTGGCCTGTTTTTAGAAGTAGAAGGGGGTTGTTCGGTTTTTATTTTTTTTTCGATTTTGAGATTATTTGATATTATGAAAGCTAAAAACCTTAGAATTATTTTAAAAAAAATCATCTTTATATCTATTTTTTTGACGTATGATCCTCTGAAACCGTTTTTTTCATCGCTCCTCGAGCTATTGTATGCCAGCTGTTCTCTTTTTCATTATAATACCTCATGCTCATGACCTTTTTAATGTGTCAGCATCTTTGAACACTATGGTGTATTTAGTACATTAAATTAAATGGTGTGTTTAGTACATTATATTACAAACTTTAAATACGTTTTTCACAAATTGACTTTTTCAATGCGGTGCCACAAATTAAAAAAAAAAACTACAAGTCGGATCGATTTGCATTTCTTTTAATTTGTTCACTACTGCAATACCTAGTCCCCCTACCTCAAACAACTTGATAACATTACGCAAAAAAATTTTGCGAAGCTTCTCGCCCCAAAAAAGGCCTTTCTTGACACTTTTTTTTAAATAGCTGCCATTTTTTTCCTTCTTGCTTTTTTTCTTTCATTTTGGTAGGGGGACTAGATTCAAGCTTCTTCTTCAACGTAGTTTCTTTTTTTTTGTTTCAGGCGATGCGTAACGGATTTATCTGTGGCACCGCAAAAGAGATCGATTTTGCAAGGCCGACTTTGTCACCCCCTGGTCAAAAAATGACAGCAAAAAAAAAGAGAAAATATCGTAATATTCTATGATTTTGTAATTTTTGTTTCGAAAAAACAAAAACAAATACCTTGCATTTTTTGTAAAAAATGAACAACCCCCTTAAAATAGAAGTTAAAAGCCAATCAACTTTGGCAGGTTTAAATTTTATGTTTTCTTGGCCTCGAATGGGTTAATCGATAAGAGCAATAAAATTTATCGAATTTTCTGGGTACTGATATGAGTTAATTGATTTTAATAAAAATAATTACAAATAACAACCTCAAACAAAACCACCCTCAAACTAAACTTTTGAAGGCAAACTGTTTAATAAGACAAGACTGTGTCAATGATGTCCAAAATCTGACAGGATTGTGATCATGCCTTTATTATACAGTCGTGGAAACGTTACTAAAATAAGCCAATTTTTAAATAAGGCCACTGTGGCATTTGTCCATACATGTAATTATGTCCGTATATCTCCTACTTCACAAGTTCGAAATTCGGAAATATAGTTAACTATAAATTTACCTGAAAAATTCTGGCGGCAAAACAGGATAAGGACTGAAATTCGTATGAAGCTGGTATGGATAATACAATTGTGGTACGCTGGTGTATCCTATCGGTATGGTGTCATGAATCTGGTACTGCTGCAATGGTATCAGGCTCGGTGGCAATCCATGTGGTTTCTCAATTTCAATGTCTAAAGGTCGTTTGGGCTGATGTTGTTCTTGTTCAACTGGTGGCAATGGCCTGGCATGATGCTTATTTGGGGGTCCATGTAATTCGTTTGGTGGCAGAGGTGGGATGTCGCGATGGATTATCTCGACATGAGGTTGGTGCTTATTGCTGTCGCTCTGTTTTGGGCGCTCCACGACATGGGGATCGTAGGGCTGAAAATATACAAAACCAATTAGAAGTGTGAAACTATTTTTACATGTTAATTTACAAGTTATCTGACAAAGAGCCTGAAATAATAATTTATAATAAATTATTAACAAGACAATCTCATGTTTGTTTTTCTGGGATTTTAAAGAAACTTATCATGATGATAAGGCTAGTCAAAATGAACCACTTAAAATATTGTAAGTCTAGATATGTAGATAAATTATAAATTTGATTAAGAAATACGTACGCCTATATTGTTTCTTACCAGTATGTTTAGGTAACTTAGTCGCTTATATAAAGATCAAATTTATTTAACTAGTTTGAGATGTGCATTATTAATATAATAATTATATCTAATCTAATTTATTTTATCATACTGGATAATGAATTATAATCCTTGCAATTGAATTATATTCACATCAGTTACATTAAAGCACTCTAAAACTGTAGAAATCCAAATATCACATAATAATTTTGGCATCTTTAATTTAGGTGATTTTATTTGACCACATGTCTTCATAATCATAAAGTCAATTGTGATAAAATAAATATAATGGCATTTTTATAATAAACTTCAATGCATTTTATTAATGAGGGCTTTCCCAAATAACGTTCTAAAAAAATCTCAATACGATATTTGGTTTATGCTATAAATATAAATATGATAAAGATATTTTTTACTCCAGTAAAAATTCGTTATACACATTTATTTATTTATTTATTAATATATGGTATTATTCTTGTATAAAATAATGTAAACACATTTAAGTACATTATAATCATTTATAACACAGTTTTATATAATTAGTATAAAATAATCATCGACATTATTATCATTATAATGCGATTAAATATAGCATTAAATTGTGTTTCAGTCTATTTTGTTCTCTGCACTGATAATTTCAAATTATAAACATGAGAGTTATAATTATATAAATTATAATTGTAAAAAATCACCATTATCAACTCGCTACTTTTGGTATACTGATTTAGTTATCATTGATTTTGATTTAAAAAAATAGCTGAGTGATAGTAGGGGAATTTTAAACGTATATTGTGTAAAACTTTGTTCAGACCTTTCAGATTAGATGTATATTTGTTTTAACATTTTTTTTGTTTCAACAGCGATCAGAACTTAGGGGTTCTATAAGCTGTTCTTTAATGATTTCTGTAATAGTGATGAATTTTCATTGATGCAGCAATGCCGGTTAAAGGAGTCTTCTACCTTATGGATTCAAAAAATCCTTTTATTTATTTTGCATTTTTGTGGCCTAAAAGGTACTAGAAATATAATATTAAAATGGTATAACCGAAATCTTATAATTTCAGGGATTGATGATTTTTACAGCTCTTCTTAATATAAAGTCACAAAAAGATAAAGCCAATAGTCGTCTTAAGAAACCCAATAGTCATAAGAAAACTAAATCATTTTGTTTTTTTATTTCAGACGACTTTCATGAGCTTACAAAAATTTAAGTTAGAAGTATAGAAATAAACAAGTTTAAAGCAAGAAAACAAGCACCTTGATTGCATTATTAGTTTCCCAACGATTCATTCTCAAGAACAGTATTAAAACCGAGTCCGCAAGCTTGAAGACCCCCTTAAGGGGTTAGGGGTACTTGCAGGCACGAAAAAATAAGTGTTTTCAGTATTTTTTTTTGTTATTAAACGATGTTTTTCTACAAAAATATTAACACAGCATTATTAACCAATGTTTTGACTTGATGTAACAAAAATTTCAGAAAAAAAAACTCAATATTCCCAAAGTTATAGCTGTTTTTGTTGACCCTGTTTCGAAAAACGGTCCTGGCGGTGACCATCATAACTCCTTGGAGATTCATCTAAAATCAATCAAATTAAAAAAATAGTTTTATGAATAGTTAATCTCGGGCCGGATCGAAGGTTTTTCTTTTTTTGCAAAAATTAACAAAATGGCAGCATCAGAAAGAAAAAATCTTGATTTTTGGGTAAAAAATCAACTGTTAATTGGTCTTAAAAAATTCAAATTTTTGAAAAAATAAAAATCCTTCGATCAGGCACGAGTTTATTATGTATTCTAAAAGCTGTATAAATTTCATTAAAATCTACTAAGCGGTTTTTGAGTTACAGTGGTCACCGATTCAAAAAACATAGTTTTGAGAAAAACGCGTTCAAAGTTTTACATTGGATTTACGTACAGAAATACGAATTATTAATTCATTTACACCAAGTCATCTATTCCTGGGCCATATAACAGTTCTTCAGCCATTGTGAAAGTTTCCAAAATTTCCATTTGGTGTTGCCTACGAAGCATTCTGCCCTCCCGTGTCGTCTCGTGGGCGCGCTGATCTGCTACTTTCACACGTGCAGCATCCAATTTTTCAGCATACCAATGGGAATTATACCCACAATTAGGTCCTAGGGTACTCATAATCAATAGTAATGATTATGTATATGTATTCAGCAATTTGTACGATAGTAGAACTAGTATTCACGGTTTTTAGGCATAATTTTTACACTAGTTGGTTGAAGCTCTTAATTTTTCAAGATTATGGATTCAATCTTGAACTACACATCTTGAAAGTAAATTATCATTGCTGAGATCGTTTTAAATCGGTTTAAAAGCTTTTAAAACATCAGGAGGTGAGGGAGAATAATCTTGAGTATAAGTATCGAGCTCTCCACTTGCGTCAACGCGCTGGTAAGAGTCCAATAACTCAAAAAGTAATCATCGGATCAACTTGAAATTTTCAGAGAATATTTTCAAGATGTTACCCTTAATGAAAATGCAATTTTCAAAAATCCCAAGTACCCCTAACCCCTTAAGGGCAGTTTTCACTTGGAAATGTATTGCTATTTCCAAGTAAAAACTAATGTAACGACTGTTCGACATCAGGCTGCCCGAGGCAGGTATCAAACCTGGGATATCTGATTGAAATTCCATAGCTCTAACCACTATTTCACAGACAGGCCCATTAATGTGTACGAGTTCATTCCAAATATGCACATATTCATTCTAAAAAACAATAACAAAAACGAGGCCACAAGCTAGAAGACCCCCTTAAGGGCAATTTTCACTTGGAAACATATTGCTATTTTCAAGTGAAAACCTATATCACTACTGTTCGACATAAGGTTCACCGAGGCAGGTATCAAGCCTGGGATATCTGATTGAAATCCAATAGCTGTAACCACTATTTCACAGACAGGCCCTAATAATATGTATGTGTGCATAATTTTTGTAGCCGACAATTTGAATTTGTCATTGATCACAAACTGATTTTAGAAACTCAAATATTGCCACAAATATCAAATATATATTATTAAATGACATGAAATAACATAAAAAATGGCAGTTTCTAAAAGGCACGCAATTCATTTTCTACGCAATGTTGTTTCTTTCAAAGCCAAGAATTAAAGTATTAATCTGTTTCGAAAGATTGTCGTTCTGTGCTAATATGCAATTTATCAACTACAATAGTCTTCGCACGCGGTAATGGAGGACATTACTTTATCATTTCAAAATGAAATTCACAAAGCATTCTGGCGGTAAATTAACAATGAATACAATTCTCGTGCAACAACAGATAACGATTAGAAAATTGCATTCACAACGATATTTATAATATCGCATATCACGAAAGGAAAGTAAAACTGTACTAAACGGCGCCATTCATCAAAAGTGGGACAAATCGTATAGTCATTCTTTAGAGGTGGTTTCCTAGATGTCGTTTGATATTAATCAATTTGTGGTTGAAGAAAAAAGTGAGTGTGCAGCTTCTATATTGAGATCTTCTGCATTATTAGTCGTTTAGTAAACCGCATGTTCTTAATTCATAATTAAATGCAACTGGTATTTCTGAAAGGTTTAATATGATAAAAATAACAATTTACTATATTCCGTCTTTCAAATCAAAATTTACAACAAAAGATAATATAACAAATTTTGTCTTACCTATACCACCTAGTGTGAAATTTTCGAAAAATGGAATTTTCAATTTTTCCATATTTCGATAGGTTATACCTTTAAAAATAACATACCAAAATTTTAAATCGATATCTTAAATAGTTTTTGAGACACAGCCATTTAAAGAGTATATATAGTATATAGTATAACGATCATTTTATCTTTAAACGCGTTTTTCTCGAAACAGCATTTCACGAATTCGCTGCAGTGATTACTCAAAAACCAATGATCCGATCACTATTGAATTTTTTTTACATGTTCTATATATAGTTCTACGTACAATGACCTATCGATTTTTGATCTGATCAAAAATCGAACTTTGGCAGGCCAAAAACGATCAAAATTTTGGTTTAAATCTTTTTTAAAACACCGCCATATTGTCAATTTTTGATTTTTTTTTATCGTAGGTCATTGTATAAATATTATCTAGTTTAACGAGATTTTTTTTTTTATGTTTTATCAACGGAGAAGGCTGCAATCACTCCAGCAGTGGAGAACATATTTTTTTGGCGCCGCTGGAGATCGCTAGTCATTTCAAAAATATTTAATATTTTATTTCAAAATTTTACTGTGTATTCTCAAGACATGTATAAATATACCCTCACAATTTTAAATAGATCGATTAACAAGTTTTTATTCCCATACAACAATTCCCATAAATGACCTTTTTTAGGTGTGCCCCTCAAGTATACCATTATGACGAAAACATTTTTCCAATCAAACAATGATATCATGATATGTTGGCAGTAGTGTCATAAAAAATAATGCTTCACTGAATTGCTTCTTAACACTATGCATTTTTTTAAATTAGACGAGTTCTAATTATTATCTTTCCGTTTAGTTATTTAGATCAAATCACGCAAAACTGTTAAATTTGCCTTATTTTGTATTCGAACAGTATATGGAACTTAAGAATCCTCAGGATCCCTGTGATGATATTTTTTAACTATAGAGCTTTTCTAGAAATCATCCCAACGATTGGCCTTTCTCTATTTGATGTATTTATATTATAGATTTTGATCACTTGGAAAGATATTGCTATCTACATTTAGATGAAAA